CCTCCCTGCCCACCCAGCCACCTTTGGCTACTTCCCCTCCCAGCCCTCATTGCACTCTCATCCCTACTTCCATAAAGAGCCGCTGGACCGGACCCACCCCTGTGCTTCACTCCTCTTGCTCAGTGTCACACCTCTCAGCCCCCCACTGGGAGGGGCCATCCCCGGAGCCTGGACCTGGGGCACACGAGGTTTGTGCAGGGTGGGCTGGACAGAGAGCAGTTGGTGACAGACATTCTTTGTTGTTCATCCGCTGTAGGGAGGACGAGGTTGGGCCAGTGAGGGCTTTCCAGAATCCTGGAAAGGCAGGAAGAGTTAAGACGTGGGACAGAGCAGGTTTGGGAAAGTCCCTCCCCAGACCACTTTTCCAGACGTGAGGGAAAGGAATGTGTGCTGGCCTACTTATTCCCCCCTTGCTCCTCTCGGCCGGCCGGGCAGTTTCCCACACAGAACAGATAAGGTCAGGGGCTAGCGGAACATAGACACTCTGATCCCAAGAAGTCTGGTAAGGATTCACCCGTGCCAGAGGGAGCTGCATGGAGCACCGGCCACCCACGATTCAGAGGGCCACCAGCCTGGGAACCACTTCAGGGCATTTAGTAGGATCAAGTAAAATAAAAACAAAAACTCTAGATATGAAGGAAACAGCATAAGTTTATTTCTTCCCTTGGAAGGAGTCCAAAGAGCTCAATCTTGAAAATTTAATTCTCCGTTTCCCTTGTATTTTTATCGTGTTCCAAAATGTTGGAATATTGGAACACATGTGTTAAGTATATCTAGCTCCTTTTCAGCACCACCTACTTCTCCATCCCATCTCCACCCACCCTGGGCCAAAACTGTGCAGTGAAAGAGTTTCATGCATTATGTTCCCTTTCTGAAGGGGCCAGTACTGGGACAAGTGGATGGACTGTGGACTTGGTTCAAATCCCAGCCCTACCACGGTGTCAGGGGCAAGTATTTTAGTTTTATGATATTAAAGAGGGAAATGGCTCCTCTTGTTATCTTCATCAGACCACAGACATTCCCTTTTCTAGGTTTCCCTCCCCCAAATCTGCTCCTCTTCAAGCCCAGACCAACCACCCTAGACCACACTGAAGTGTTAATGACTTAACAGTTGGATTGCATTTTAAGAAGCACCCATAGGGGGTGCCTGGGTGGCTCAGATGGTTAAACGTCTGCCTTCGGCTCAGGTCATGATCCCAGGGTCCTGGGATCGAGTCCCGCATCGGGCTCCCTGCTCCTTGGGAGCCTGCTTCTCCCTCTGCCTCTCTCTCTCTCTCTCTGTCTCTCATGAATAAATAAATAAAATCTTAAAAAAAAAAAAAAAAGCAGCACCCATAGGGGCAGTCCTTAGGAGCTTTCTCTCTCCAGAGGCAGGGAGACAGAGCTCAGGGAGTGGGGGTGGAATGGAGGGGGGTCTTCAACACTGGGGATAGCTGCCTGGACCTTTTCCCTAAAGGTGGCCCTGCATTTAACACAAGCTGGTTTTACGAGCTCAGCAGGCCTTGGCATGGAGTGTGTAGAGTCCCTTACAACAAAAGCCTTCATTTCCTTTTCCTTCATTTCAGGTCCCCGCACACACGGTTAACACTAAATGAGGACTTTCTGTGTGGTCAGCAGCCATCAAAAATTTGCATTGGAAACTTCTTTGGGGGTGGGGGAGGGGAGACCTTGAACAGACTAAAATCTTCCATGGCCAGATAAAGGTGGTGAATCAAAGACTGGTCTAATCTAGTACCCTAAGGACCGAAGGAAATTACTATTCAAACCAAAAGAAACCAAATTTCATTTTGCCTCTTTTATTTACAAGTTTCATTTAAATATCTCTAAGAGTTAGAAAATCAATGTCAAATAAGAACATTGCTATACAGCTTAAAATACAAATGTCAGTAAATATTAAAGAACAGGGTTAATCATTTTTCTAAGTCAATGCTTGATAAGAATTATTTTCCAGGAAGCAAGTTACACATCAGGTGCCCCAGGCATAAGGGACAGAGCCTCAGCCTGCTCGGCCACCCGTGTTCCCTCTCGGTGATACACGAGGCAGTTCGCATGAGGACAGTACTGCCAGCCTTTATACCCCAGCTCCAAAGCTACACTGGGGATTTTTCTGCCAGGGGAAGGAGTCATGTTCAGAGACAAATGCACCACTTTAAGACGAAACTAGGATGGCTCAGTTCCAGGATCCTCTGGTTTAATCTGGGAAATAGAGGCCTCCCAAGAGATGTCAAATGAAGATAGGTTACCAGGAACTGATGGACCTAAGAGTCAAGCCAGACTCCTTCTGAACACATTTTCTTGTTCCCAACAATTCATTATTCTCTTCTTTCGCTGACTCAAGTTCAAACTGTTTATATTTCACTTATATACAAAAGGTGCCACAGCTCAACTGCGTCTAACCTAACTTTTACCCAGTGTGTCCGATACGAACGATCTTTTAGGCCAATCACACTTCTGGGAAAACCATGATTATATATTAATGTACCTCAAAGTTCACATTTTCACTATAACAAATCAGTTTTTTAAAAAAATAACAAATTAGCTTTAATGTTACAAATAATCCCTCAGAAAACTGAATCTAAGTAACTCGACCTGGCATACTAATTTGAATTTAGAACTATACCATCTTCTTTATTTTGACCAATCCCCAGAATCAGCAGAGCTATATTATTTATACATAAAACAATATCTAAATTATGCCATTATTACCAAAGTTTCTTACCTAAACTAATATGCAATTTAAAGAAACAAGGCATACTTTATTCAAGTTACATCCAAAATATTAAATGATCAATGTTATTTTTTAGTTAGTTTTAGATGTCTCAAAATTGAAAGCTTTACATAAAGAAATGATCAATGCTTTGGAAGACTGACAAGTGCCACCAACCCCCTCTCAAATCCCAGTGCCCTCAAGCAATAACCCGTGTGTCTCAGAAAGGCCAATGACACCAGAAGGGTGGTCTGGGAGACAGACATGCTGGGGCTTAACCAGGACACTCTCCTTGGAGCATTCAGGGAAAGAGCTGAGACAGTTCACAGTGGAAAAAGGCAGACAATAAACTGGGCTTTCTTCCATCTCGATATACCAGTTAGAAAGCAGGCAATATATTAGGCAGGGAGAGAACACAGATGCGCTTGGAGAAGCAGGCGGGAAGTCTGTATCCTCTCAGCTGTCCCCCGAGTTACTGAATCAGATGCATTTTATGACCCACGCTAGGCTCCCAAACAGGATTCAGACAGTCTGTAATGCTCTGAGGTGCACCAGGGTTTGGCTGGCATCAAGAACAAAGGATGTCAGACAAGCAGTCTTCAGCTCTAGCAACAAACCTTCATGCAAGCGCAACAGTAGTGATGCACGTTTCATTTCTCAATCTAGGAGATCAAAAGGAACACTAATGGTTTCAGAATAAAAGGACCGAGGCTGAAGCACTGAGTAGAGACGAAGCCCCTATCACTGAACAGTTACACTGGAAAACGGACAGGGGAATGTCCCCAGCTAGAAGTCCCCCAACATGTGAATGAATGTCACTGGGACATGAAAAGTCAAAGTCTCGTTTCTTTCAGTGGATGGCACAAGGTGGAGATGAGGAGAGGATCACCCGACGTAGTGCAGGAAGACAGAACTGTCAGCTTTGTGGGATTATATTTGTGTTTCTGTTTAGGGACACATTTCCTGTTGTTTAAATGCCACCGCAATTCACTAGAACATGAAATCTGTTCCCCAAGAAAGGAGACACGTGGTTTAATTTGAAATCAACACAAAGACTGTGCTGCCCACAGAAGCCATTACGGGTCACATTTTTATTTTTGCCCCGACTCCTCTACTAAATATGGTCTGGTCCCTGCGGAGTAGCCACGGCGGTTCAGCCCACAGTCTCGCGGCAAGTGTCCCGTCTGACAAATCTCACTCCTCCCTCTTCCCTGCTGCCTCTCTGGATGCAGGCAGCCCTGGTTAGCGACTTCTCAGTCCTTCGTGTTTTCACCTGTCCAGGTTCAGGCTGAGTCTTACTTAAGTCCACAATCCACCGCATCAGCCAGTCCTGTCTCCTGTCACAAGGATCACCCTACATAATCGCACTTTCTCCTTCCCTGCAACTCTCTGAAGAGGGAGTCTTCCTCCCGGACAGTACTGCGCAGTCAGCAGCAGCAAAGCACGGGTCGGAGGATTAGGTGGAATTCACAGAAGAACGTTTGAGAGGTATAATCAGAAAGGCTAAGTGCTCTAAATAACCCGCGCAGAGGCTAAGCTCCGCAGGGTGTTTTATTAATGCAGGGAAAGCCAGGAATTAAAGCTGAGACAGAAGTTACCTCCGAGTATGGCTCAAGGTTTAAGGGGCGGGACACAGCAGAAGGGATCAGAAGCTGCACAAGTGAATTCAGCTGGTCCAGAGGCCTAGCCACCCCCCCCACCCCCTCAGCTGAAAATCAAGATGAGTCATTCCAAGCATGCTTACAGCAGGCCCGTTTGCAAGTTTGAGGGCTCAGTTTTAGAACTAAAACACAACGAGGATGCAGCATCACAAAGTGCTTTCACAAGTATAATCACACAAAAAAGTTAAAGTATTGCATAGAAAAGTGTTCTAGAATATGTTTTGTAAACCTAGGTCTTAGTAATTTAAAAATAAATAAAACCTCCCTTCATAGTCTAGACGTCCATGATTGTGAATCAGGAAAAACCGCCAAGTCTGCCGATTTTGCGGCACAACCTCAGAAAATCCTGAAGTTCTTCATATTCTCAGAACGATAATTAAATTTACCCTTTGAAGGCTCAGGCTGACAGTCTAACAACAGTGTCTTTATAAAAGGACTTTGGCTCTGGGCCCAAGCCTATGTGCTCTCAATGCTCTGCCCGCTCTACGTAGAAAAGGTGACCAAACACATGGGGACATGAAATCATGCCACTGCTTTTAAACCAACGCTGTTTTTTTCCTCATGTCAGTCTGTGATTAAGCAAGCTACATCCGCTGGCCTTACTGTCTGAAGAGCCAGCTTAAGACCACGGGAACATGTCTTAGCAAAGCATTTAAGTTGACCTTGGCCATACGCGAGCTTCTCAGCCCCCCTTGTAATATGCATCTATCGAGTCTGCGTTAAAATACACCACCGTGACAGTGATGTCATCCCTGTACATCCTCGCCAAGTCCTCTGGCAACGTCAGCATCGCCGTTAGCCGCTCCAGCTCCATCTCTCCATACTCATTGGTCCCTATGGCGTGTCTGATGAGACGCGTGGCTGCGTTTTGGTCGGCTGTGTGGCGCCCCTGGTCTTTCCGCTGCAGCAGCAGGCTCTGCATGAGCCCCAGCTTGGAAGGTCTCTGGGCCAGGTCTGGCTTGTGCTGACCCACTTCGGCCAGGTGCTCCACCACCAGCCTCACCACTTCCTCGTTGCCCAGCACGTCCCACAGGCCGTCCGAGGCCAGCACGAGGAACTTATCCTGGGGCCTCAGCCGGTGGTAGGTGACCTCAGGCTCGGCAGTCAGGTAGGGTGGAGTATAGTAGTGTGGGGGGGTGAACTGGTAAATGTTGAGGGCCTCGGTGTCAAAGCCCCTCTCCAGGACGCTGTGCTGCAGGTCTTTACTCCACTTCAGCTGCACGTCCCCGAAGGCCCTGCAGGGCATGAGGACGCCCAGCAGCCTGTGGTCCACGATGACCGTCCTGTCCTCTGATTCAGGGTGCTCCCTCTTCAGCCGTGACAGCTCAGCCGGGTTCCAGGCATTGTGGTCGCAGGTGAGAGGCAGACAAGACCACATGCCATTGTCTTCCTGGACCCCAAGGATGGCTCGACAGTCACCAGCATTTGCCACATGCAAGTGAACTCCATCCACATGGGCCATGCAAGCTGTTGCCCCAGAGAAGGCAACCTGGAGTGAAAGGTTCCTTGTCATCTCATCTTCCAGGGGGGCCTGGACTTCCAGCGAGATGTCAGAATCCAGTCTCTGGAAGGAGTGCATTAATGCTTCCTTAATGTTGAGTCCCATTTCCATGTGCAGGTCAAGCAGCTCCTGCCAGTAGACGCGGAGGTGATCGAGGTGCACTGACGTGACATCCTTGTAGATACTGTCCCCTGGGTGCTTGAGCCAATGCAGGATAGGCAGCAGGGGCTTCATGCTTTCCATGGCTCCCTCCATCTGCTCCAGGGTCTGCTGGGACATCAGTGACACGGCCACGTAGTAGAAGAGCCTCTCGCTCACTGCTTGAGCACATGCATGGCCACCGTGTCCGTCAAAGATGCCAAACATCAGCCCGTTGGTCTGTAGGCAGGAGGCGATACCTCGCCGGTCTTCCACCGGGGAATTGGCAGCCAGCTGGTTGCTCTCAAACCGTAACACTGAATTTGGGACTCCACTGACGAGGCCAAGAGTCTTGTGGGCCAACTCGCCGGCTCGCAGCACTTCATTTACCTGCTGAGGGTTGAGCTGCAACTGAAAATCATCTTCCTCTGTTGATGTGTGTCTGTAGGCTTTCTGCAGAGCAACGTCACTGCACGGGACACTGATTTTTCCGGTGCCTGGTACCTGGGAAAAGAGTCTCCATCTTGCTTTATTTCTATTTGAGGCACACCTTGAATATAAACGTCTGCCTCCCTGTAACGTGGCAATGCTGTTCCTTGCAGAATTTTTTAAGATCCAAAAGGGCAAAGTACTTGACATTATGAAACTATACCAGCAAATGTGTTCCTTCAGCAAAAGGGGCTTTCTTTAGACCTGAAAATTAAAGAGTTGAAGAAAGCTCAAATTCAACTTCTTAAAAACAATGACTTCTGAAAACATTTGCTACCATTCTGAACAAAAGCGATTTAAGATAAACTTCAAGAGTTGACTAAATTCAAAATACTTAAGCAAGTCTCCCTACCTCCCAATACAACACATAAATAACATTCCAGAAAATGGAGAAAACAGGGTTTTTATATGTTCTCCACTCTTAGCCACTGAAGGCTTCCCCACAGGGCTTACTCATTCCTCACAGCTGACCCAGGGGCCCCCCTTTTTCTTTTCCTTCCCAAATCCTTTCCCTTGCCAGAGCCCAGGGTCTAGCTCCCATGTTCACTTTCTCCAAGCAGACTGTTTAAATGTTTATTTAAATATCTGCTTCTCCACTATTCTGTAAGCTCCATGAAATCAGGAACCTAGGCTCCCTTACTCACCAGTGGCTTTCCCAGTGCCCAGGCCTATACGAGGTACACAACAGGCCCTCAACTACTGGCTAGACATAGCATTTCCAAAGGCCCAAGAGCACACCAGGTATGACCCTAGCTGTCTGACATCAGACACACTGCTTCACTTGCCTGCACTTCAGCTGTCTGACAGTGGGATAAGAATACTAGCCTCATGAGGTTTTGTGAGGATTTATTTTATTTTTTTTAAAGATTTTTATTTATTTATTTGACACACACAGAGAGAGAGAGGGAGAGAGCACAAGCAGGGGGAGCGGCAGGCAGAGGGGAAGAAGCAGGCTTCTTGCCTGAGCAGGGAGCCCGATGTGGGGCTCGATCCCAGGACCCTGGGATCATGACCTGAGCTGAAGGCAGCGGCTTAACCAACTGAGCCACCCAGGCGCCCCGGTTTTGTGAGGATTTAATGAAATTTGACCCTTCTGCTCCAAAAAGGTGGTTATTACTTTTATTATTAGGTGACTCCTCTAGTCATTCTGTATACATTTTTATATAGTTGAAACCACAACTTACACTGTGGTTTTCTTCTTAAGAGCATTTTATTCATGATAATACATTTCATGCATGTGCAATACCCCATTTTGGCATAAACAATCTCAATTTACTTAACTGTTCTCTAATGTTGTAGATTTAGAGGTTGTTTCCACTGGCTTACATTTTATGAAACACCAAACTGCACTGCCTTGCACACCAACCTTTTCCCTACTTAGGTTTTAACCTACCTATTTCCCAAAGGAGGAATCAGTAGGTCAAAGGGTGTAGACTCATACTGCCAAACTGATTTCCAAAAGATTCACATCTGCTTCTACAAGGACATGAAGGGAACAGTTTCCTAGCACCTTCAACAGACTCTGGTGGCATTTTTTCTTAGACAAAAACAAACAAACAAACAAACAAAACTGCTCTATTTTCTATTTTCTAGGGTGACCTAAGAGGAGCGTTTCCCACATGTTTTCGGATTTCGTTCAGGAGACCTGCCCTCCTCCAAGTTTGTCTTTTGGGGCACTGGGAGCTCTCAGAACTGAGGATCTTCCTCCTCCCCCCAGTTCCACCCACTCCCGAACTTGGGCCCGGGCGGTAGGTCAAGGAGTACAGAGGGCGCCTGGCACCTCCCACCCCTCTGGGGCCCTGCTGAGAAACCAGGCAACGGTGTCCGACGCAAGTCGGTCCGCCGCAGCCGCAGCCGCAGCCGCAGCCGCAGCCGCAGCCGCAGCCGCAGCCGGGATACAGTTTCGTGTCCCTCGAAAAAACAAACAGGTCCCAAGTTCAAGTCTCTGACCCACAGCCTCATAGATAAGAGTTCGGTCTCCGGAGTCCACCAAGCCCGATCTCCCTCAAGCCCCGGCGCGATCACGTCCCTGAGCCCCAGCTTCCCAGCCTGAAAAACAGGCAAATTCTGCCAAGGCGCCTAACTCACAGGGGGTGCTCCAAGGGCTAAAGCAGCTCGTGCGGGTGCCCGGGTCCGAAGCCAAGGGTCCTTGTCAAGTCCGCGAGCCCACGTGGCGCGTGCGCGCGATGGGGTGACTGTGGCTGCGGGCCCGCCCCCTCACCTCAACTCACCCCGGCTCTCTACCTCATCACCTGATCCGATCCTGCGGGCCGGGGAGAGCCAAGGCACAGGCGACGCCTTGCGGGGTGGAGGAGTCCCCAACCTACGATCGCCCCCTTCCCTACTTCGGACCTTCGCTCCCCTCTCACCAGCTTGCGCCACCGCGGCGCCGTCCGTCCCGTCAGTTCCGCGCCTGCTCACAGTGCCGCGGCTGCCACTCCTCCCGCCTCACCTCCTTGAAGCGGCCCCTTGTGCAGATCCAGATGGAGAAGGAAGCATCCTCTCGCCGGCTCTTATTGGTTTACCTGCGGAGGCGGGCCTTTGACGGAAAGAGGAATTGCCCAATGGCTAAGGAGGACGAGAGGGCGGACAGGGCGGGAGGGACCAAATCCGGTTCCTCCCCACCCGTCCCCACCAGTCTCCTGGGCTCTGGTGGTGGGTGGCTGAGCGCCCCGCAGGCTACTCCACTGGGAATTCAAGTGGCTGGCAACCCCACCACGTGACCTCCCACACTCTGCACACCCTAAACCGAGCAGCCCCTTCAGTTCCTTGCTGTTGTTTAATAATACCTCACGGCTTCCCCTCCATTGCTTTGCCGACCCGTCCAGACTCCTCTCTCAACCGCTTGGACACCTCCCTCTGGATGCCCTACGTATGCCTCTAACACATCTTTCTGGGGACTCATCTTCCTGCCAAACCTGCTCTTTCTCTCCTACCCTAACCCAGTAATGGGCCCACCATCTTCCCAGATAGCCTAAACCAGAAGCCTGGGAGTCTTTTTTTTTTTTTTTTTTTGGAAGCTTGGGAGTCTTGATTGCTAACCCCCTTCCCTCCCCACCCCCGTCAGTTATCTAATCCTGTTCATTTTATCCCCCAAGTATCTCTCCAATGCATGCCTTTGTCTCCGGCGACTTCACTACCCTATTCCAATCCTCTCCTCTGGTCTCCCTGACTTCAACTGCCAACTTAGCAGCTCTTCCTCTACAGAATAGGCAGTGACCCTTCGAAAACTCAAATTCCTGCTCTAAAATCTTCACTGGTTCCCCAGGGAGCCATTGGGCCTTCAAAAAACAATTACATTGGTCTGGTCACTGACAGTTACCAGAAATGGTTAGTGACTGGGAGGCTGAGAAAGGCTGAGAACCAAGACCCCAGATAATCCCTCAGTCCCTCACCTTGTGGGATTCCAGGTACCCCCTGCTTGCTTACTAATGGCTTTACTCACTCTTCTACTTACTGTGGTAAGGCAAGTGCAGTGCTTCCCTGGAGGCAGAGAAAACTGGGAGATGACCAGAAAGGCCACTAAGAGAGCCCTGAGAATGTGGTCTTCGGGAAGGAGGACATGCCGGCTTACCTGGAGAGCCTGGCCAGCCCACTGGACCCAAGGACATGCTGCCATCAAACTGCTCCTGTCAGACTTGCTCCTGGTATGACATTTATACTGCCACTCACCTTTGGCCCTTTCCAGAAGTTTTACCAGTAAGTCAGAATTTGCAGTATCTCTCTTCCTGGATATTGAGAAGGCATTTTCCGACTGAAACTAAAAATAACTCTAAGGCATTCCAAAGAAATGGGTGCAATTTTATTTTTCATACAGATAATTCATTTGGGGTGACAAAGGGTGACACAGCTTAATTACTCCATCTGCAAGCATTTATGAGTGCCTGAGGTGACTGCTGGAGACATACAGCTGGCTGTCCCCACCACACTTTCCTGAGAAAAATTATGTCACTCTGCGAAGTCTGAAACCACAACGTTTTTCTAAGTTACCACACACACAACAATTCCAAAGTAAAAAATGTACCCTTGATAATTTTGTGTGCACCGGAACTTTCGTTTAAGGGCTATAGCTAACTTGGTCACTGACATATAATGGCCAGCCCAAAAACTTCAGCCAGTCTCCCAGGGCTTCTTTGTTTCAAGGTCTTATATGTAGAAAAATGAAGGAAAAGGACTTATCTTTCCTTGGGAAAGGAAAAGCAGCAGATCAGCTGTCATTTTCTGAGGAAATGTAAAAATATTCAGCTTCAGTCAAAACCAAGCAAATGAATTAAAATGAGATACTGGTTTTTGTCAATCAACCTGACAAACATTAAAACATGATTAGTACTTCATATTGGTGAGTAGGCATTGCCATCTAGGCAGCTGGGAGTGTAAACTGAGGCTACCCGATGGACATATCTTTGATCCACTTATTCTACTTTTTTAATTTATCCGAAAGAGACGGTCAAAGGTAGGGGCACCTCAGTGGCTCAGTCGGTTAAGCGTGTGACTCTCAGTTTCCGCTCAGGTCGTGATCTCAGGGTAGTGAGATCAATCCCCACCTAGGGCTCCGCACTCAGTGCTCAGCGTGGAGTCAGCTTGAGATTCTTTCCCTCTCCTCCCTCTCCCTCCCCCTTTCTCTCCCCCTCTCCTCTTCCCCACGTTTGCATGCGTGCTCTCTATCAAATAAATAAATAAATATATAAATAAAATCTTAAAAAAAAGAGAGATGAAGGTAAACATTATGAATTTTGTACAGTAAACATATATATCTATCACTCCATCTGGCTCATCTTGTATAATCAGGAAAAAGAAGGAGGAGGAGGGGAGGAGAAGAAGGAGAAGGAGCAGCAAAATTGTATTTAAAAAAAAAGCCTGACCCGGGTGGGGAGTTAGATCCCTTGAGTGATTCTGGCAAAATTCCCTGATTTCCCAGCTACACAGATAAGAGCTTCTATGGAACGTTAGGAAAGCTGGATCTGAGGATGATGTTGTGTCAGGGGGACCTGAGATGGTACAGCCAGGCTTTTTTGCGGCTGCCAAAACTATAACATCTAGGCCTGCTATCTGGGAGAGTTTGTAAAAACCTCAGGTGTCTTTCTTCTTTGCCAGTGCGCAGATGTGCTTATCCGTGCAGTGGTTCTGAGGCATCAGCGCTCCTCAACACAGCCGAATAAACCCAGAAAACCCTTCCTACCCCTCTGAGTACATCTGTG